TTCTTCGGTCAATATTTGTAGCCATACAAATTCAACGTTACTTTCTTATTTATGTTGTAAATACACGTAAGTATCTACAAACATATCCAGTGAAAAAACTACCTTCTTGCCAGTCGGACAAAATATAACTATCATAAATATTTAAGTTAATTAACTATTTTTCCACTAATCTGTTAGCCCAATAATTGAACTTTGAGTGTAACCCATTTTATGTAGTTTTTTTTGTTTGGACAGAGTTTAAATTCTTTAATTAACCCAATTAATTGAAATTGAACAAAGACAATAAAATTATTTCTCATTTCTCATTACATCACTTTATTTACATCAAAACTCTACGTTATAAACACTAAAAGAACGAATAGTAAATAAACTCTAAGAAATATCTTAAAACAAGACTGTACGTCAATTATTATTAATCTATAATATTTGTTACTCATAATTTTGAGTGTTCCAAAAACCGTCATAAATGAAAAGCATAGACAAGTGGAAAATACCTTTTATTGGTTTTATTCAACTACTCTATGGTTCTTAGGTTAATCGTTCTTCCTCATTTACGATTACATATGTAAATATTATGATAATTTATAAGTACTAGAATGATAAGATCTTTAATTGCAATATCTTTTACTATTAGAAGTGCATAATGTATGAAATAAGTACTTCAAGTAGCCTTTTATCATCGTATCAAAACTTGACGGTAATGAATAATATAAGTACATAATGTCTTATCGTTTTATAAAAAGTTTTAATTCACGAAACACAGGTACAAACCAAGCTGTTGTCTCTTTTGTTTTTCTTGAAAAAACTGAGATGGCTATATATGTTTTTACGTGCGAGTTTCGGCAGCGGAAACTCGCGATTAGACGCATTATATTCTAAATTTTAGATTTTGAAAGACATCAGACAAAACACATAACCATGTTATTAACATTTTCTTGTGAAGTGTGGTTATGTCAAATATATTTAACAAATAGGTACATCTGCTGTAGGGTTTTCAGAACAATTTCATAAAAGCTCAAATCTCTTAGTTAATTATATGTTCTGAAAAGCGTTAAGTCAGTTTTCTGGTATAATTCTTTTCAAATATCTTGGTGGCCCAAAGTGATCGGTGCGATTCCCTCTACCAGCATCCCGCTAACCTAACCTAACATTGTGTTTTGCTCAACGACACGCGGGAAGAGCCACCAAGGTATGTTAAAACATTTATATGAATAGTATTTATAAATGCCACTAAAGTCGTACCATATTTATAATTTGCTTAACAGATAACGGTGATGAAGGGAGATCGTATCATTCCTCAAGAGTACGAGCGCTGGGAGGCAGATGGCGTCACTTGGATCGTTCAAGATCTCCCACCGGAAGACGATGAGAAATTTATTGAAGTACTGGTTGATCATCTCGGCACGGATGAAGTTCTCTGTTCCACTACACGTAATTTTTTTTTAATCTAACCTAAAATATACAAACCCTAAACCTAGATTATTCATGCCTCTTAATTATGAAAACTAGTTTAACAATAAAAGCTGCTTAGAAAATAAACAAGTGGCAAGTTGACTAAAAAGATAATTGTTTTGTGTTTTAATTCTTCATTGTTTAATTACATTTTATAATGTTTTTTTGTAATGTACAAAACGTCTCATTATAATTACAAGATAATTATTTACGTACAGGAAAAGATAAATTAGAATTATTTATCGTAATTATTTTTTTGTTTAGTCAATAATAGTCCTCAATGTCAGAAGTAAATCATTTTAAATGATACGTTACATGAAAAATAATAATTCGCCATTTTTTAAATCAATTTGGATACATCCTTACATAACATAAAACGAAGAAAAAGACAATTAACTTGAACAAACTGCCAGTCATCGTTATACTAACATTTGCATGAAAATAACACTGGAAACAATATATTTATCTTAAGTATGTATTGTCTTTTCTAGTTTCAATATGTTATCTTATTATATAATAGAATAATTAACATAAGTCACACTTTGTAATAATTGGCTTTAGTCATGCTGTCCGTAGCTTGACAGTCGGTGTTGGCATTTTGGACGACAGCGTAGTCATTTTTTTTGTGACTGATTGCCACTGTTTGCCTTGAGGAGGCATTAACAGCTTCACCGAGCTTGAGATGGCCGAGCGCAGATGGCGCTTAGCCTGAACCTCGTTTAAGAGTAAAACAGCGTAGTCAGCGCGACTCTAAAACTAGCTTAAAAAAACCTTTTATTTATCATTTTTGTTCTTAAAATACGTAAGAATTAAAAAGTAGAAAAAAACGAGGAGTCTGAGATATCTTATATATCTTTATATCAACATTTTAGCCCCAATTAACTTTTTAATATATTTTTTTTGTTGATTTTGTATAAATTTTGTACGCGAATTGCATAAGCATTGTTAATGGAGGCTATATCCTCTCGAACTAGACCTTCAGAACTGGTTTACTGAGAATGTATGCCGCTTATCAATAAACGTTAACTGGGACAAGGTCGGTTTAAGGTTAAATCTCTGAGTATTAATTGAGGAAAGATAGGATTGAGGATTACCTATTCAGGATGTCGCTTGTAAAGAAAAGATCAAAATTTATTTTAATTACTTTTGATAAAAAGAATGAAAAGAAGTATACGATATATATTTATTTTTTACTGGTTTTTATTCTGTTTTATGTCCGTAAGTTTTATTGTTCTATATTAATTCGCTTTGTCTTTATCCTCGTGATTCCAACGACACATAACTTTAAATATTTTCCTTTGGTTCCGTAATTTTGCGTCTTAACTACTTTTGTATACTGCAGGATAAAGTGCATAAGCAAATTAATTTGACCTTACGATCGATAGAGAAGGATGCATGCGGTTTAAAAATAACCATTTCAAGTTCAATTGTAGTAATAAAAACATAACAAGCTTAAATAAATGTACTTGGGAACACGACATAAATAAACCTCATAGAAGTAGGCAGATATTATGGAAGTCGTTTAAGCGTAATTCTGACACTTTGTTTCTAAGTTTCATCATCATAAATGCTCATTAGTTACGGGTACTCTATAGAACGGATTTTTTTGTCTCTCTCTCTCTCTCTCTTTCTCTCTCTCTGTCTCTCTCTTCGCTGGTCTTGTACCAAGCGAAATAATCGTTTCACGCTGACAATATACGTCCACTCCTTTACATATCGCAACCTCGAATCTTAATATTGGCAGGTCTTTCTGAACACCCTGAAAGCGTAAAGGGAATCAGCGATTACTGGCGAGTGTGTCTCGCTGAGCGGACGAGCATTGCTTGCTATAGAGAGATCGACGGAGTGCGGACTCTGGCTGGTGGGAATTGCTGTGTTATCGCGAAAAAGGATGATAAATCTTCCATTGAGGTGCGTAATTTTAACAAAGTATAATTATTTATTTTTAGAATGTCCAAGATTTTTAATATATTATCTACATATTTCAGATACAAGGAGACGAATGGAAGACGGTGTTCGAAGGTCTAAAGTTCGTAGAGGACAAATGCAATCCATTTGAATATTTAGGTGAGGACAAGCTACTCGTCGGTTACGGCTTGGTCGTGAAACGGGAGTTCAGAGGCGCTAAGCTAGGCGCCCGGATTCTAAACGCCAGGTATGCCACCGACTTCAACTGTGTCAATTCATAATCAGACTAGGTATATTATAAATTATCAACAATGTGAGATGAGCAAATGCTTCCTTTATGTACAGTCACCTTCTTTAGCGGTATTCCAATTACAGAACTTACATGCTTGCAATTGAGCCACTATCGATGTTTAATAAAAAAAACATCTATGGGATACCTTCACTTTTGTGAAGTGTAAAATAATATTCTTGTCGTTTCGAATCGTACGAGTAGTTCATACGATTGTTGCTTTTTAGGAACACTGCGAACGAACGCGACTGTACCTAACTGGGCAACCTTACAATTATGACAAAGATTTATCGGATACCACAGTGACTTACAATTTGTATATGTTTCGGCAATGAAAACTCACGTTTAATATTTCAGAGAGCCTCTTTGCAAACAACTGAATGTGAAAGCAGCAACAACAGTGTTCACTGGTATATCATCACAGAAGTTAGCTGCAAGATGTGGGTACATCGTGACAGCGGAAGCCACGCTCCACGAAATGTCACAAGCAGGACTTAAGTATCCCAAAGGCGACCAAAGATCCATCAAATTGATGGTCAAGAAATTTGAATAGAAGTTTACAAGCATCTGATTTTATTTATTTTAACGCTTTAAGATTCGTCATCAATCTGCTCTTTTCCCTACACAGATTAAATATAGTAAATACAGAGTGTTTCAATGTTTTTGGTTGCGGCATTGCTCTCACATCGAATCCCTTTAAGCCATTTACACCCAACATTGAATTCCATGGAATAACTCTTATGTTTTGAGCCTAAGATATTTGAAAACCTCAGTACTCTTCCATACGTCATTCGTACGTCATTCTTAATTTTTACGCATATCCTCTTTCAAGCAATCCATATTTTCTTCGGTCTTCCTCTACCTCTTTCTGTTTCTTCTCTTCTTTTCTCTCTCTCTCTCTCTTTGTCATATATATTCAATCTTATTATTTAAATTAAAAAGGTGCAATTAAAATAAAATATTTCAAAAACTGATATTTTTATCTTTTAGTTTTAATAATCTTTATCCATTACAAAAGATATAAATCTAGAAAGATAACTTTCCATATTAGAAAATGGCGGTTTTTATGAAAGGATTTTTAATAAAAACATTCAAATAAAACTTCAAACAACATTTATTAACGTTGTATATAAAATCTAAACTGATGAATTTTGTCAAAAATATTTAAACTAATTTCAAATTACAATCGTAAATATCAAAGTAATAGTCCAGAAAGAAATACAAAAATCAAAGTTCTATGTAAAATATAGAAATAAGATCTTACTAAAACTGACAGTAAAATGTAAGTTATATATCAGCTAGTTAAAACAAATAATTAATTCAAATACAACTTTAAAATATGTTTTAAAAAGTTATTAATAAAATATTTAACTAATAAAATATTGTTTATAACTCACGCCTCATGCTATATATTATTTATACTCTTTGCCCAAACAACTGACAAAGTGACATTGACGTGTGTCAAAATCTAATAGTCAATACCACAACGTCACCTATAACATCTTCTTTTTCTGTATTACAACTGTTAACGAACGTTTCAAAAAAGTTCTTATGTCTTTATTTTTTAATCTACATGTTTTGCACACTGTATAAAAATGGCGACCAGTTCAAATAAAGTTTTCTGATGAATATTATGCGAACCAGTACTAAAAATTATTTAAAAATATCTTATAGCGTTATTTAAAATACAGTCGTGTAGAAACATAATAAGGGAATCAACTACTGGTTATTACTAAGTAAAAATAAATTATTCGTACAATCCCTCGAATAAAAAAAATCAAATTTAGTAAAATATAAAAGCTGTATCAGACATCTTACTTTGTAAAATGTTCATCGGTGGATCGCTCGTGTTACATGTATTCCTTAACTAGCTGTCGCCTGGAGTCGCACGAGTTCACGATAAATTAAAAAAAATAGTAGCCTAAGTGATCTTCCAGATTATGTTCTACATCTATGTCAAATATCACCAAGACACATGCAACCATTTTGGAGATATCTTCTAAAATCCATCCATACATCCATACATTCGAATTTATACTATTATTAAGATAAATATAAGTAAAAAAATATTTCGCTAAAATTAAACATTCCTACTTTTAAAGACCTCATTTATTTCTCTTTTTTGTCTCAATTCAAGTAGTGGCAATGATCTATGTGATGGCTGACCTTGAGCTGGGCAGTACAACATTCCTTTGAAAAATACTATACAATGGTTATATTTACATTCAAAAATATACCTAAAGTCAATCTACTTAGGTCTATATTCGGGTAGACAGTGTTCGTGAGGATTGGGCGGAGTTTCATCAGTGAGGTAAGAGCTGAGCAGTACGGGGGGGCAGACAGGCACGCGGCGCGCACTCAGCCACGCCGCGTCTCGTGCACTCAGCGGGTACCGCTTCACATCCGCGAAGCAAACGTTCACCTCCTCCTTTGTGTATGGTGGCCTGTCAACATGTTGCAAATTAAACATGACATACATTTTATTCTATCTTAATGATTTAAAATGGATTTGATATTAAAAGTAGATTAAATCTGGATATTTTTTTTAATTCAACACAAACTAGGTCGCGGACAATTACTAGTGATAAATACAGTCTCCGCCTGTTATAAAGTGGTCTAATAAGAAATAATGTGGATGGATGGAGAAGATAAGTTAATTACTCTATATACATTGAATATACTAACTGGTCATCGGGTGCCAGTCCATCACCGGCCTGTATGAGTCGTGCCAGCAGACGTCGCCGGGCATCAGTGACGTGCAGCAACGCCACCATTCCAGCGAATGGGCCAGCCCGGCCGGCCGCGCGCCGCGACCGCCAGCGATGCGCCGCCGCAGCTAACGACCGCTCCGCCTCCGATACTGCGGGTAAACAGCTCGCCACCGGATTGCCCCACTCGAACTCTTCCTCCTAGATATTTTAATCATTAAGATAATTGTGTAAATCTTAATTCCTACAACCAGAACCAGAACTGATACTGGTACCACAGAAGATATTTGAATACTGGCCACTGACGATTACCTTTATATTAATTATAAGAAACCAACGCTAAGAGTATATTTAGGTAAAATGGTCGCTTTAGACATAATACGGAATCGTAGGAACAACGCTTCAGAACGAGACAAACGTATGGAACATACATATGTTTATCTCGCTCTGATGCGACTGTTTAGTCTATAATACTTATCTGGCCCCACTACCACCCATGGCTCCACCGAAGGTCAGTCTGGCCAATGTTTACCTGTGCACTTTGTTGACTACAAGTCCCTTATGTTTCAGTGCACCTGACAGCTTCACGTACCTGCAGGAATCGTCCAGCGGCGCGGCTGCGGGCGACGTAGGCGGGATGCAACACCCAGCGGCCGGCCGCCACGCAGCCCAGCATCTTCTCGCTGCGTCCCGGCGCCGCGCACAGCAGGTGCGTCGCCCGCGCGTCCATCTCGCTGCACTCGCTCACCTCCCCGCCCAGGTACTGGATCATTGTCGCTATCTCCTCGCGGTTCTAGAACGCCGACAATAACCATTTTGTTTACCCTAACGAAGTGGTCAACAACTATTTGTTTATCTTACCAAAGTGGTCAATAACTATCTGATCGTAGTAGCTGACTGAAGTAGTCAACAATTTGAACATCTGACCAAAATGGGGCAAAAAATATGAAAATTCGACCTTGAAGACCACATTTTTTTAATTACGAAGAGTAAAATTTAAAAAAATGTATGGTATGATATTATATAGTTGCATACATCAACATTAGAGGAGAGCATGAATCGTTTGATAATGGGCGTGTCCTGTGTGGGCGCGAGCGAGGGCGTGGCGCCGTCGTCCCACCCCACCGTGTTGGGCTGCGACAGCGGCTCCGGCTCGCACTCCATCACACCTATAGCTGTACATACAATTTATAAATTTAATCAAAACTATTTTATTAACCCCTCTCTTTCCCTCCTCTTGTATCTGTCTCATCAAAAAATTTACTAAGTAATAGTAAATGCTAGTAATGATTAATTAGATAAAAAAATATCTATAACTTACTATTTTACGAATATTATAAATGCGAATGTTGATTTGGTGGATGTTTGTTACAAGATCTCGAGAACTGCTAAACAGATCTTGCTAAAATTTGCCATAGATGTAGGACATAGTCTGGAAGAACACATAGGCTATTAATTTTTCCTGCTAGTGGACGGAGTCACAGGCTGCAGCTAGTAAAAGATATTACGTGGAGTAACAGTGACGGAGTCCCTGGAGCGCTTGTGTTTCTGTGAGCTGCGACTGTTGAGTGCAGCAGTCAAGCGCTGCAGCTGCGCGTCCACTGCGGCCGGCAGCGGAGTCCTGCTGCCTGGTGCGCTGGCAGCGCTTGCTGCGCTACTCTCGCTCTTCACACTCTCCTCGTTCTCCGCCGCGCTTATACTGCTCGCTGTCTGGATACAGATTTTTATATGACAAATGGCTGAATGAATTCGCTGAAATAGCGAAGTGACTGCTGTCCATACATTTACCATTAGAGATGCGTTGCCTACTTTTTATCGACAGAGGACGCACAGATAGAGGATATTTCCCCTTCCCATGCGTCCCTTCATACGTCATCATTACAAGGTTAATTCTATAGAATAGAATTATATGTGAAAATGTTGTATCAAGAAGAAAAAATGAAATTTAATGGATACTGTCAAAGTAACAAAAACAAACGTTTGCTTTCATTTTTGGTCATTTTTAATCTGTGTAAAATAAGTATTATTTTTATAATCTTTTACCTGATCGCTAAATAATTTTGGCATCTTTGGCGGCGGTGTCTCAGGTTGATCCTAAAACAAATACAATTTATCGATTAGTTGTGAAAAATTCTAATTAAGAATACCATGAGAAAAACATATTTTTCCATACTTATAATTAGAAATGTATGTTAAAGGCGATATAATTAACCTGTAGGCGCAGTTTCCTGGGCGCGGCGGTGTGCTCTGCGGGCGGAGTCTCCGCCTGACAGTTGAACTGCGCCAGGAAACGATTGCGAATCTCCGATAGTGGCTGAAAATAATATTACTGAATACATAAGATAAATAATGTCGAATTTTGTACTCCATTTTTTTCTCCATACAATTAACATGATAACAATTTACAAGAATAAAACTCAAGAAATGAATGATATGAAATTTTTTTTAAAAAATACCTTTTGTGTTAATCATAATAAATGCGAATGTTTGAATGGATGGATGGATGGATGGATGTTGCATGGATCTCGACCGAATTTGGTATAGATGTGAACTTATCCTGGAAGAGCAAATAAGTTACTAATTAAGTTAATTTTAATTCCGCAGAACGGATAATTCCGGACGAAGTCGCGGACTAAAGCAAGTCATATAAGACAAATAAAAATGACATACAGTATGTTCCTTAACGGGTGCGTGTGGTTTGGAAGGTAGGTCATTGACCACCTTCCAAAGTCGCTTCCTGGAGTCAGGAGAGAGTCGGCCGGAGCCGGGACGAAGCGCCGCACCGAACGCGCTGTCCGGAGTCGCCGGGTTCTTCTCAACTGCGTACAAACAATCAAAAATAATGTAAAAATCACCGATATTAAACAAACATGTTGCAATGTATTTTCTATAAAGCTACAGGAATAAAAAAAATATTAAATCTGTTTAAGTCTGTTTTTGTTTACAATGGAGAGAAAATCTGAAAGCTTTAAGTAGGTGGCGTTAGCGTCAACAGGGAGCTACCCATTTAGAAAAAACGTTTTCTTTTTTTTTGTTATAAGTAATTTATGACAAAAAACTTACTTAAAAAAAATAAAAAATTGCTTGTTTAATTTTTTTATTACAATTTGCCGGAGGCCGTCATTAGTCCAGTCCACAGAGTACTTTGTACATAAAATATTGTTTTTCGTACATCTGTGATATATTTAGTGATATCGACTATTAATCATGCTGACATTAAAAGCAAAAGGCAGTTTTTCTCCCCATTTGTAAGAATGTATGATGTTGGATGTAGATGTGTATACTAACAAGGGTCGGTGGGGGTACGTATGGGGTCTGAGGGCATCTCCCCGCAGCGCACAGCGCGCAGTCTGCGCCGCGTGGTGGGGCTCAGCGCCGCCAGGTTGGGCGACGACAACGCTTCATCCAATGGCGGAGTGCGCACCGCATCGTCACCTACACATTACACTAACTACATATAACTAACGATCATCCGCGACTTCGTCTGGGCGGAATTAGAAAAAAAGGTAACTTATAATATGCCCTCATGCATCAGCTTTCCCGTCCAAGTCCCGTCAAAATCAATGCAGAGATTATGCGGAACTAACGCCGCCTTAAGGATAGACATACAAACAGACAAAAATATTTAAAGTTGGTTTTTTTGTGAATATTCCGAAAATTTATTTCGAAATATTTCGAAATTTGATTTTTCTTTCGATATTACATACACTACAGACATTCGTCTTTTATTAATATGTATATTTATTACGCTATTGTACCTATCCTGGCTTCGTCTCTCAGTTCGTGCAATCGTTTGGGCGTCTCTTGAGAGTCGCAGCCCAGCAGACCTTGCCGCGCCATCGCTATGTACCGGGAGGCTGGTGACATCACATCACCATCTAGGATTTAAAAAAAACAATTGTAGTTATGTTCGAGTGTATGAACATGAATCAGGAGGGTGTAGTGCGTCTGTATGTATGTAAATTCCATTGTGACATCCTCTAACTGATTGTGACAGTAAATTTTTTTCTTAAAGTGTCATAGTCAGCTGGAGTTTTATTTTTTTTCATTAGTGGATTGGCGATTAGTTGAAAATGACTTCTGTTGCTTCGTTCTGATTTAAACACGCCTTTTGTTACGTGACAGTTAATTGTATCGACACAACCGCTAAAAACTGCTACTATCAGCGTCAAAATAACGAAAATCAAATAGGCACAAAATGCAACGTGTCATAGCAACTCCATTTATAGAGGTCAGATATACCGTTAAGTCTAGCTTTAGGCGTGTCCTCTCTATTGTGCAGAGAGTTCCTGCGCGGCACGTCGCAGCCGGCGGGGGGCTGCATCTCGTTCTCCTTGTCTGTCTCCGCCCCCGCCTCCGCCCCCGCCTCCGCCCCCGC